TTTTGGTAATTACTTTCATCTAAAGAACTTAGGACATATAAATTTAGAGATATATATCTATTCACTTCTCAGATTAAAATGTACTTTTAATGAATATTTTTCATGAAAAGCAATATGAGAAATTTCAGGCCGCATAATAGAAGCTCTATTTGGGCACATATTCTCAGACCCCAATAAGAAGGAGAAAATTAGTTTTCGAAACAGCCATTCTATTATAAAAGATAGTTTTTCTTACGCATTTGACACATGATTAAAAATTGGTTACTTAATGTATTATTGCAGTGATCATCATTTCTGCAGTGGCCGTACATATTCTGCCAGTAGAAATTTAATAATCGATAATCCAGTACACAAAGGGTGAAGATCATGAGTTTTGGTCGAATTGGCTGAATGTACCCCATCCGGTCTCTTAAAAGGTACTAGTTGGCTTGAAGGCAGCATGACAGCAATCCGAAGTCTTTAAATTATCCCAATTGTGCACTTCTTTGATGATCCATCATCATCATCATCTTTGCGTAAGAATGGTTTGGCTTCAAAACTGTCTAGTACATCTACCAGTATTTATTATTTTTCTGAAAAGATCGACTTAATTTTATCAATTTATTAAATAACCCTTTGCAAGCGAAACTAGTGGCTAGTTATCTCTCTTGAAATGTAGGTACGAGAATTGTGCCAAATTTCGAATCATTGGGCAGCCTCTAAATGTGGGCAACAGCAAGTGGGTAAATTTAGCCATATTGGATTTATCGCGTTCTTCAATTAATGCTTTTTCACTATGACTAGTCCCGAAGATGTAGCCTTCCAAGTTCACACTCTGTTCTCTAATTTTGCGGGTGAGTTCACGGATGCAATATTTCTGGCCTGGTGGTTTAATTGAGATCTAGGTCATGGTTTTGCGAAATATGACTCATTTTCCTTTAGAAACGTTTATTTATCACTCTAATTAAAGGTCTGCTTCAATCCGGGGGCGATATAGATTATCCGAAGTCTTACCCTAGCGTGATTTCCAATTACCTTATATAATTTGGAATTTTAAAGCAGGATTGACTCTGGCTTAGGTGCAGAAAAGCATGAACTGAACGGATTTTCTATATTTAGCAATGTATACGTGGAAATGCTCTGATAGCGCAATGTCATTTTTATTGTTACGCAGCCGTAAGTTACTGCAGCTGGGATGTGCGGCTAGAAAATTCCATCGACTCAGTTTTGGTTAAATTAATAATGGCGGTCGGGGGTGCATCTCCATATTCTTTTTTGAGGTGCCTTGCTAACGGGGCCGTTAATCCGAGTAACGTGGTTCTGTGATAGTTTGACGCTGAAAACTAGTACCGGTGACTCATCGACATCTGTGTAAATACACTTCCGAACACACGTCGATTACCACCAACCCACTGACTTCGCGTTATCACTTCATTTATTCACTTTTTATTTTATATAACTGTCGCATCTGATATTGTTTAACGTTGACAATAGTAAGTGCTCACAAAGATACACTATAGCTGCTGTTGTTCAGACCCAAAATGTAGCGAAGAACTGTAACTCAACGGATTTGCTTCCAGAATATAAATACATTGAACTGAATTCTTATCAGTGTGTGTGTCAATAGGCTATTTGTTTAGCTACTAATTACATCGGTGAGGATATTGCGTATCCAGGCGCAAGTGGGAAAATGTAATAACAGAACCACACAAGATGATCCTGAACTTGCTTCCTTTTCAAAGTAGTGCATCTTGTCCCTATTTTTGTTGTTATTATAATTGGCTTACACGGAGGTGAGTTTTTTAATGATAACACTAACCAATTAAGCATTCGGACTTGAAGAAGTGTCACGTTCCAAAATGACTGAATTTCCAAAGGGGTCTATTCGTTGCATTATTGTTATGAACCCCTTAGTTGTACCGAAATGCGGTGCAGTAAATATATCATTTTGGCTGCCGAATTTCGCAATCCTAGGTAGTGTGTATGTACACACATTTTCTAGGTTATTTGAGGGCTGTCTGTGCATTGGCCCCGACTTCCTACACACACACACACCCGTACTAAGCTATTAAGTCGGTGTTCCGAAAGATCTCTATTGCAGTTACAGAAATAGTGAATGCTTTTAGTCCTAAAATGAGCTACTTAGGTTTCTAAAGCGTTTTCTTAATTTAGTTCCTACTTGATAGCTATTTGGGTTCCGCTCTGCACATGGCGTATTTGGAGTAATAGTAAATTGTTCGAGTATAAAATTTGAAGGTAGATTTAAAAAAGTAGACTACGATCATGTGTGCCATAAGCACACTTCCCTTAAAGTGTTGTTTATTGATAATATTTCACGAAGAAGCTCCATTTTCAGTCCACAAAGTTTGCTAAAATCAAGGGGACTGGAGGAGTGGGGTTTTTTGTTGAATTTCAAGCCATGAAGGTGCGTGTGTGTGAATCAAAATTGCCACGGGCGTAATGGCAACTGTATAGAATCCCTTGATTTTATAACTGAAACCTCCACTTTTCCTTTTCACTCCGCTTAAACAATTCCTCTGTCTAAATCATTAGTTTGAATCAGCATTCTGATTAAATTTAGAAAACGAATAAGTTATCGAAATCCATTGGAAGTATTTAAGTATGTTATAACAGTCTGGCTCACGCAAATTGACTAAATCGCGTGCCAAATAGGTCTCGATATTCATTACTTTTTGTATACCGTCGATTGAAGAGAAAGATCAATATCAATTTGCATGCTACTGTTTGTTTAAACGAATTAATCATTTCGTGCAGAAAATTTCCATAATTCGTGTCATGCAGGGTTGCAAATGCTTCGATGTAGCGAAAAAGCATTTCCATCTCTTATGAAATCGTGCCTGCTTAAATAAGAATATTACATTGCCATTTGCTGTTTGCATCGGACTCGATTCTGTCAAGTTATGTAACTTCAATTAGGAGTTATTTTGTGTTAGGAGTATTATACCAGCTTTGATTTCAATATATTTCCACGATAGTCTGATTGAATTATCCGCTTGTAATGAGATATTATATTAGTTTAAATTCGTAGTAAGGTAATCGTTTAAATCTATTCTCGTAGTCTTCGTAATCTATGCCCGTCTTCTCAATATTTTGTTTTATTCCCAGCTCACTCTCTTCAATCCCTCTCAATCAGTATTGAAGATGTTCGTGATACAATACAACCTGGAAGATATGCCCGCGAATTGCCAGACATTTCTGCGACAACGGACCGTCTACATGCCAGTATCGAAGGGAGAATTTGTTAACACTGTCTCCAATCCTTCCTCCGATCTTCTGTCCTTTGTCTTCAGTGATAAGAGCAATGTCTCAAATTCAGAATCGCTGCCTATCTTTCTTCGCTATCTCATTCACCTTCGGTGAGTTTTACTTCTAATTGAACGTCCAAAGTTCGCATTTTGGTAGGGAGTATTTAAGAAGGAAGAGAGCTTGGGAATCAGGAGTTCCCTAAACCACCTTACCTCCGGATCCCTCTTATTGAAGTTCGGTCAGGCTTGCTCCTCCTTTTCGTTCGCCTATTTTTCATTTCATATTGTTTCACAACCATAATTTATTCATGTAGCTGGCGATCAGGTTTAGTGAGTGCTCTTGAACCTCTTATTTTCAAGTACCGATGATTATAATCTTTTAAATGCTATAATTGGGTTATATTTACTACAGGGATTTTATTTTTAGTTTTAAATAAACATCTATTTTTCCCTCACTGTCTTAAGGGGGCTTATATGTTGCAAGTATTTCGCTCAGTTTCTAATTGAGTGAACGAAGATTTGTGTTAGTTTTATTTTTTGCTTTATTGAGATCTCAGTTGTTGTTTTGTCATGTTTTCAAGGTTTACCAGAATTATTACCCATTTAAAAAAATAAATCAATATGTACTTTCATATTTTTTCATGTTTACCGATATCAGTTAAGCCACTTTCAAAAATTTTGTGACTTAAAGTGCATTCATAGGTCCAATATCAATATCTCATACAATCTCCACATTCGCGATTTAGGTCTTCATAAATTCGAACTCTCACCTTTTTGAGTGTTCGTTTTACCGAATCATTTTCCGAACCAATTTTTTTATGAAAGAGAACTCATTTCGAGCAGATGGTAGATTTATATTTCAGAATTTGGCTTAGGAATGGCAGAAATACTTCCAACTTTCCTGTTTTTTTCCAATTTAAGAATTCTTGTGGCCTTAGTTTCAGTAAATTTAATCACAAATTCTGATGAGAATTAATTGAATTAGTATATTAATTCTTGCTTTGTGAAAATTAGTTAATTTATCTTCTTGTTCTCATGAATATTTCCTCTTAAGACTCAACAAATCCATAATATTTTATCCGCTTTGGATTGTAATAAACGGCATTAGTTGCTGAGATGAAATAATTATCTTTATATATTTAAATCTTGGATTATCTGCAATTTATTGACATAGTTTAATTTACTATCCAACGTAAAGTTATTTAAGATCTCATGTTTCAGGATTTTCCTCTTGATTTCCGAGTAGAAAGACCAGTTAGTTAATTCGAATTCGTGACAATTTTTTTAATAAATTAATTTGTGTTAACTCTGGATAAGATGTTATCGCGACGCAATTAGAGCTTTCCACTATTTCGCGGATACCTCCCAATACTAACTTTGCTAGCCTTCCCAAAAACTGGAAGACTGAGAAGTACCAGAATTAAGGCACAAAAAAGGCTGCGTTCGGGTCTTTTTCATATAGTTTTATGAGTAGATTTTGAGGACAGTCGGTGTCCTGCATGCAAGACAGGGTAGGTTGCTTAATTAGAATAAGTGTTTAATGGGTACAAATACTTCCGCATAAACAGCTTCAGATAATATCTGTGGGGTCTCGGATTCCGGTTGACTCATCTTCCTGTCACAGAGAGAGGGTACTGCTAAAGGTGGTGGGTGCTTAATACTACCGCCGCGTGTATGGTGTTTGCGGCAAAGCTTGCATTTTCTTGTTAGTTGATTTGACTTTTCTAGTGCCGACTTTGTAAATCAATGAATCTAAAAATGTCCTTCATCATCCCAAGGTTGGTCCATAAAAATATTCCTCTTCCATTATGAACGCTGAGTTTCTATTAGTGCTGTTGGTTGTTCACACTGGCCTTTCAATTTGAATTCACGTGCCTGAATGCACTATCGTAATTCGTTTTTGCTTCATTTTTTGTATTCGTTCAAGCGCCCGGACTTATTCCCATTAAAAGTGGATCTCATATCGTAGCCAAGTCTGGTTTCCTAATCTATCGATTTAATAACTGAATTACGTGCACTGAGTAAAGTCAATCTTTGCCAACGTTCGTCTATTTATATCTCCTATGGAGCTATTTTGACGAAAGATGTCACTCATTTCTGCCAATCGCTACTTTTACTCCTTCCTTGCAGTCAAATGCACATTTCTACTTTTCCATTTTATTACTCCCTTCCCCCCTCCCTTCCTCTCTCTCTCTCCCTCTCTCTCAAGTTGTGTGGTGATGAAAGATTCAAAGGAACATTAAATGGAGTGATAGAACATTCGAATTTGAGGGGTGGGTGGGTATCATACATTTCTGTATTATTACACACCAGAATTGACCGATACGTGTGTGGTCGTTTGCATTCTTGGTTTAACATAGTTGATAATCGATTTCGTAAACTCTGGTTAACACCTGGGTATTGTGACCGCATATTGGGCGATAAACTGCCTTTACTATCCCATTTGTATAAATTACACTATTTGTTTAGGGTAAATAAAAGTGAATCCTAAATCCTCTCTTATGAGAAATTGGCATTTTACTAATAATCTTACTGACAATAATAATTCAGTGCGATTGATTGTCCATTTCACTGAATGTGCACTGATGGATATCGACTTTGTAACGTACTTGGTGGTCATTCAAAATTATCATTTCCTTTGTAGTCTTCGTTATCTACTTTGTAATCTGTTGATGGTATATGTTATTAGAAACTTTTGACCTATTTAAAAGTATGCAAGCATTTACATCGTTATTTTTAATGTTGGTTGAAGCTGGACTAATAATAGATGAAAAGACCATGCGAAAGTCACACAGGGTGCTTTCTCTGGTCAGAACTTCATGCTTTGCTTTAGGGCGTTCGTTTTTGAATTGGTATTCGGTTAAAGCAATCAATGTTAATACATCTTTGATGAAGTTGGACTTGCAGTCCCAAGTAGATTACTGTTCGATGAAGACGAAATCACTGAGTTACCGGGAGAATATTGTGTGTGAATTTTATGTAAAGATAGTCGAGGTTAGTTGGTGTGATGAATTACCCCAACTGTGACTTTGCCTAAAACTAGGTCAACATAATTTATAATCCTCCATGCACTTTAAAAATAACTATGACGATAACACCTAACATCGCCGTCAAAGATAAGCCTTGCTACCTTTTAATTAACTGATGCAGGATGTCACCAAGTCTCTATCCATTAATACTTACTCTAATGCCTTCGCTTAGTGCCTACTATCCAAAGGAAATACCCCTATAGATAACAGGTTTTTATGGGTTAATTCTAGTCGATAGTCACCCTATTACTAGCTTCCATAAACTAACATTATTGTCTTGGTTTCTAACTAACCCAATTTAATGATATATTAACACATGCAATGGCACGGTAATTTCCTTTAATAAGCTTAGTTGTAAGTAGTTTGAGTTATTGTACGAAATAGGCGCGTATTTAACTGAATGGCCAGTTTAGGTGACTAATCACTTGTACTCTTATGGGAGCTGTCTGGAAATGGGAAAGTGTGTGTGTGTGTGTGTGTGTGTGTGTGTGAAACATTAAATTTAGTAGACTAAAGTAGCAGTTGATTTTCAAGTCCTTCTTTTGTAGATTCCACACCTCCAAATCGGGAAATCTCTATCTTCACACGGATATTCGTCTAATATTTGCTCGAGACAATTTCGAGTTTGATCCTCGAGTGGCTACTTATCAAATGCGCTCATTCATCGAGGGGCCAACGAATCCGCGTTACTCTCCGAAGGCCTGATAGCTTCATCGCCCTCCCCTACCATCGAGAGTAGTCTTTCTTTGTGCCACTTTCAACCACACTATCGTTTGCTGTTAGCGTGATATTGACACTGCCAATTGTAGTGGTAGTAGTATACTTTGCACCATCCTTATCAATGGCAATACGGATAATGCAGTCACTGCAGAGCTTTCACTTCACATTCGGATTATTACCTTCTCACTTGTGCACACGTCTCTCTGTTTCGGTGCCTTTTGTGTACTTCTTTACTTGCGTTCTGTTTCTCCNTCCTCCCCCCCCCCCCCCCCCCCCACCACCAACGCCAGCGCCAGATTTCATTGGTTACTTAGAGAATATATGCTCCATTTGCTCTTTGCTCATGGTTCATTAACCCTTTTAGCTAATTATTTAGCTTATATTAACGAGACACGATTCTTCTGACTTATCCAAGGGCAAAACAAGAGTTCAGTCTGCAAGACTCAGACCATTTAATAGCGGTTATGGGAGGGGGAGGAGTCAGAATTAAATTTATCCAAGGTTCCAAGTAATAAGGTACAGGACGCAACACGATTAGTAATTACTACAACTGCTCAGTGTTCTATTGGTCCATCCAAGTTATTCACTGAGTCATAAAACAGGATTCTTGTAGTATTGATTCACGCGTTTTTGGCTTCAAAGAGCAGTGATTGAACAGAATCACATACTTTTCAGTTAATTAGTTAAACTTATTTGCTTTATCCCTCATGGATTGGATTATTAGTTATTAAATTTTCCTTGGTAGTACCCGTTTATGAAAACCAACCCATGTAGCGGTTATTGCTACCATTATTCGCTATAAGATGGGATTAAACAGAGGAAGATGAAGTCAAAGTACTCATCATTACAGACCACATTACCACCACAATATAAGTGGTGCAAGCGAAGATGATGGAGTTCTCTAAGCAATTCCCTAATATTCCTTGTCAGTATTTTGTTTAAGGCCAATCCCGACAGTGTAACAGTTCTCAGTCTCGGTGTTCTACTCTCAAAGCACCAGCCACAGAAAGACGACTTGTATTCTACTGCAAAGCCTTTGTTTAGTTAATTAAAGTTCATGGCGCGATTGCATTTCTATCATAACCGATCCCCCGGAACGAGAGGAGCTTCACTTCTTATTAATAAAAATGCAAGGCGTTGTCTTACATTTCAAAAGAAATATTAACAGTATTGAAATACTTGTGGCAATAAATCTGTAGTTAAATGGTAACTACATACATTGGTTTCCTTCCAATTGTCCAATTCAAGTATAAATAAATGCAAAAAGTCTCACATTTGAATTTTCAACTATTTTAATGCAAATCGAAAGGAATTTAGTTGCTGTATTAATGTTTAGGGCCTTGTTTGCGTCACTGAAATAAACAGCTAGTAAATAAGACTTCATATTACCTTTGCCCTGTCCCCATCCCCAATATTTGGTTCCCTGGAATTAACAATATAATTGACTTCATGGAATAAATTAAATGAAAATAAATGCTGAGACTAACGCTCTACAAAGCATGTAAGTGCGACCAAAATGCGCTGAAAGTTACAAAATCGAAATCGCGTATCTAGGGCATCTTATAGGCAGGACGCGTGTTCTTAAGCAATGAGTTAAGTAAACATGCAAACACTGACCAAGCTAGCTGTAAGACTAGACTCAAAGCTGTTCTTACTCCACTATCGATAATCTCTACTCCACTAAGAATCATCATCATTCTTATTACCCACGACACACAAAAAATGTGCTTTTCAATTATGAAATAACACGGGAATATTGTTCAATTAGATGCTTGCTAGTGGAATTGAAAATTGACACACTGAATGAGCCTTGCACACCGAAGGATGGTGCTCCCAGCAATAGTAGCAAAGAAGTTGACACGCGAGTGGTAGTACCACACTTCACACTCACCCAAATTCTTTTAGCTATTTGAGTTCTGGGGGACTTGAATTAGCCATGCAGGCTGCTTTACCTGTAATAACGAGGTCGACTCTGCAACTTCATTAAATGGACTGAGCTATTACTTCTGACGAAATTTTCACCAGCGTTTCCTTATTTTTTCGGTGACCCAAAATGTATTGGGGTTAGAAGACTTACCTGACTGTATGACAGACCAAAGAAAATATTTTCTGATAAAAATATTTTTTGAGAATCCTTCGAGGAATCAGCTGATTTAACTCTTCTAATCGTTTAGGAGTAAATACGTGTCTATAAGAGCCTAAAGTCAAACGTTATCTGCCACCATTAATGCTACTTTGAAAATTTTATTCATTTATTTATTTCGAATGGCAGGCTTTATGATAGTTATCATTACCCCTTAAACTTTGACTTCAGGCTTCACAGAGGGAGAGGAAAATCAAATCGAAAAAAAGTCGAGAGGGGAGGGTGAACAGAAGAGTGTTTTAAAGATGTAAAAGAGACAGACACAAAGGTAGAGAAAAGGTGAGATAAGCACTGTGGAAGTAGTCGACAATGACATACAGTGGGGTGATGGTAGTTTGAAGTGAGAAGTCGACTGCCGGTTAATAGACTTTTTTGCGTATGAGTATACGTTGCCCAGGGTGCACCACATGGAGGTAAGTCTATCGCACATCCCATTTTGAAAATAAAGTAACAAAGAATTGACTCCATAAAAGATCTAGACAAGCCTTGCCCTTTCATTAAGGTTTTATTGTGAATGTACCCAAAAGAGGTCAGAGCATTACGACGTACAATTTATATCGTCAGTTTTTTGTGCACTGTTGTATCTGTCGCTGTTCAGTCTGCATTAATTTGCGGCCCTAGATGTGTGAAGGGCTCTACATTTTAGATAACCCCGTTTCCAGCACGAAGCCATTTAGTGTAGCTGTAGCTCCTCCACCCCCCCCCCCCCCACCCCACCCCACAACCAGTGCACATCCACGTAACATTTTCGATACTTAGCCAAAATCTACCTAGATTTGCACAGTGGGAGTAAAATTACTGCCACTCGTGCACACATTCAAATTTGTTCAAGGGTGCAAGTCTCTTTCCGTCATTTTAACTTACATTTATTCCAATTTAGTGAATGCTCATATGCCTTTTCATCTTATTTTACATTTTTGTTCATCCGATTGAAGGAATGAAATTTCATGTTGCATATCAGTGATTGGCTTGCGGATACAGGGGTTCAAGTAAATAGTACGAGATACGGTTCATTAATTATTAAGTACTATTTTAAGGCCAACCATTCTCTTGCCTTTATTTGTTCAACAATCACTTATTTAAATAATTTCTTTCACGAAACATTTGAGCAAACTACGATGTTGATATAACGTCTAAAACGTGACAAGTCAAGACGATGGATAGCGTACCAGTAATATGATACTGTCTTTGATTAAACTGTAGCGAGTTGCACAATCATCACGCTCTGAATGCAATCGAAATAGGCTCACATGTAAATCACGAAGTCAAATGATAAAGATTGAATATTACTTAATCACAACAGAGCTCAGCTGTTGAACCCCTTTCCTGTATCCTTAACCACAGAGCCTCCCATGATCAATATGTATGCAAGGTTCGTGCTATTCCATAGACAATAATAGGGCCAATAAAAACAATATGAGATGATGGTGTTTCAAACGGAAAAATCACAGTTTTTTATTAAATGCATAAATGTAAATGGACGGTTAATTCAGTAAAGGAAGAAACACCACAGAACCCTAGAAAAGTCGATATATGGTAAACGTCCTTTTTCATGAGGCATAAATAGGATATAAGTTTAATGGTAATAATCGATAAAAAGCAGACAATAAAGAAATCGAGTGACCAATTAAAGTGGGTTCATCATATTTCCTTGCACTTTCTCGTTCCTTAAATTTTTAACTGGCAATGTGAGTCATGGAAAATTCCCAGTATGTTAGTGCCGCGCTACAAACATTTGGCTTCGTTGCTATATATCGCTTCTCGTGCTAGTTATTCAAAAACATGCAGCCTTAGCTCACTTGGCTCGTCATTTCCATCATTAATTGTGATCACCTCTTTATCACGGAGGGAGAAGTAAGTGTAATGCGTAAAGGCGGATATTAGAGCAATTACAATAGCTAGAATAAATTATATCAATGGGAGAAGCGCGTGTTTAGTTTGAGGCCTAAAATAAGGAGTGATGAGAAGAGGGATTTTATACATGGCGGCTAGTTGTGATATTGCTTGCGAGTATTTGATAGGTTGATGCGTTGACTCATTTCAAAATCGAGTAAAATTTGAAATGGACGACTTTGAGAATTCAATTTAACACATCGGTTGGCCCATATGGCTATCCAAGTATTCACTTGGCCAACTTCTCCTATTGGGCACAATCAGGTTATTTGTAGTGAAAGACGTCTCTTTTCAAGTAGCACTGACGTCCAACCTCTTTATTACCTCTCCTCGTCTTATATCCTCTCACTTATCTACTATAACCTTGTTCCCACACAAACCTTGGGAATGACTGTTAGCATTTTGAATTATCATTAATATTGTTAGGGGATTTTTCTAAAATTACCCTGTTCGGATTCATAAAGTACGTATATCGCTTCTTTTGCCTCTCGAATAGAGGTAAAAATAAATTTATAAGTACAACTTTTTCGGGATGCCATTTTAATTATGACACTCCTGCTGTCCTTTCATTTTGAAATTTTTACAAAGGTCACAAAGAGGAAGTTTGAAGTCATTAACACTCTTCGCCGTTTTAATGAATAGGCATCTCTCCACTGGCGTACCCTGGTACTTCTATTGCTGCCCCGTCAATGCACTCAATCCCTACGAGTGCTATTCATCGGATAAAATCTGAAAGAGACGAAAGAGAAGTAAATAGCTCCATGAAAAGTGAAGGAGAAGGTAGTTTCTAAGTGTGTTATAATACGCTCATAAAGTTAAAAAGCCATAGTTTATTTTACATAGATGGGGTGTGCGATATACTTACCTCCACGTGGTGCACCTTGGGCAACGTATACTCAACGGCAAAAAAGTCTATTAACCGGCAGTTGACTTCTGACTTCAAACTACC